CAGCTTCCCATTGACAGAGAGGACCACAGGGAAGAAGACACCAAAGGAGACAGTTATGTCAGTTTTTTTGTAATTGATGGTTATATTATGTCTTTTCTTCAAATTTAAATTTAATTTGGCCCCAGGTAACCTGAAGTCAAAGACCTGCTATTCAGAAACTACACCAATTTAAGACCACCATCATCAAACCTCGAACTAAGAAATTCCACATTATTCATCAAATGGGATACGGTATCCATATTAGATTGCAGAAGAATATGCTAGCAATAAATGAAAGAACAAAGAAGCAAAGCAAAAAAATAAGTACCAAGAGAGATGTAATTGAAGAGGGAAAAAGAAAACTCTATTACTATATATTTAGTGTGACTTTACAGAACTAAATAGTGCCTTGTTTAATAGGTAGTGTCAGCATTTGATATGACTAAGAGTGTCATAAAGATATAAATAATGGCTATAAGTGCCACTAGAGGGAGACTTGTGCACTAGATTTTAGTATTGGCTATAAGTAATTGTCCATGGCTAGACCAAGTGACAGACCACCTAAACCAGATAGTATACCACCAAATCTTAACACCACCTATTTAATCCTTCTCCATCCAAAAACCAAAGAAACCTAGTTCAACACCATTTAAACTGGTGCTAGACCTCTTTTGAACATTAACTGAACCTATTAAAACTAAGACAGGTACGAAAGAAAAAACTAAGAGAGAAAGCTAGGCTTATGAATAGCACACCTCTCTTAAATGAAATGTTTTATGATTATACTACAAAAGAAAGACAGAAAGATAGAGGGGGACTCGCCCATTAAGCAAGTGTCCTTTCTGTTTTTCTTTAATAGGTCACCCACAAATATACATTATTTGAGCTCTCCAACACAGATTAAGGAAGACAGTGAATATTAGTACAAATAAAATGAAAGAGAAAACATTGGAGATGAAGACTCACAAAAATGCAATGTATAATCTCAATCAAAGAAACATGTAAAATAACTCCTTGGATCATATCTACATGATCCATGGTTTTCTAATGTTTTGTTCCTTTCATAACATTTCAAATGAAGAGGAAGCAGTAATCTCAGTTTATAGACCATGATAAATAAGAAAAGAAAAACAAAGAGTATTCAAATATTGTGGTAACAAATAAAGAAATGAAAGCACTCAATCTTCACTTTCATGGCAGACAAGATTAGCAGGATATAACCTTGTGAGAAACACCAGCACGCTCATAATACTTCTTTGCAATTTCAAGGCATTTCACATCTCTTTCACATGCAACTAACCGACCCGATTCAGGTAACACCAGTGCAATAGCTAAAGAAGAGTATCCCTGGGAGAAAGGGAACACAATTTTTTATTAGTCATATCTTTAAAATAACAATCTTCAAAAGAATATTGGTAAATCTTAATTGATTAGGCACTGATGATCAGTTAAGACCTAACTAGAGGTATATAACAAAAAATAGCTTAGATCGACCATGTATCAACCTCTTGCATGATTTTGATTTTATTCTATGATGCTTGATGGCTAATTAGAGGTTTATTAGTGTATGGTCAGGTAGTTAAGTGTCATTAAGGTCTAATGAGTGGCAATTAAGGAAATTAAGCTCATTGCACCACGTTTCAACTTCTTACATGATTTTATAGCTCATTCTAACATGTGACAGCTAATTAGAATAATAATAATAATAATAATAATAATAATAATAATAATAATAAAGCCCTAATTAGGATCATTTTCTTACTTCTAGACCCAATTAGGAGGTAATTAGGAGTAATTTCGGGTTAATTAAAGCATGCTTATTGTTGTTTGATTATGATATTATTGATGAATTAAGGGTTTATTCTTTCATCTTGATGTGATTAAATACTTTTTTATTCCATTTAGACCTAACTAAGAGTAATTAGGACTAATTTATTTGTTTGTTTATGAAATTATTGGTGGATTAAGGGTATATTCTTCCATTTAATGTGATTAAAAGCTAACCAGACTAATTAGATCTTCTTCTATCTAGACCCAGTTAGGGGCAATTAGAAGTAATTTAGGGCTAATTACAACATGCTTACTGTTGTTTGATTATGTAATTATTGGTGGTTGAAGGGCTTATTCTTCCATTAATATGATTAAAAGATTATTAGAGCTAAGTAGGGTCTTTTCCATTTATACTCAATTAAGGGTAATTTAGGACTAATAACAGCACTTATTTCATTAACATACAATTGAGAGCTAACAAGAGGTAATTTATTCTATTGACATTTGTTTGGAAAATGGCCCCAAAGATGCAAAGTATAGACATGCTATTGATACACCGGTCTCATGAGAATGCGGGTTGCGATGATGAGGTCGACTCAGACCTTGCAGCTGGCAATGGCATTCATGCCTCCTTGGTGCATCAGCACATGAACAAGGAGACTATGAAACATCAATCGAGCAACTTGAGTATGTTAAGTGACATTTGAAGTGGACCAAGTTAATTCACTAGATCATCCACAGCGAGAACCTCTATCGAGCCACAAGGACTGAGCAGGGCTGCTAGCCAAATGTCCTCCTTAGTTGGGCAAGATAGGTAGCATGAGGCATGGTAGATTATGAGGTTTCATCATAAGACTTGCCAGAAGGGTAACATGATATCGTCAATCTTGATCCTACTACTTGGCCACCACATTTAGCAAAACAAAAAGATCAATGATGCATACACGAAGGGAAAGAAGGACATGGGGAAAGCTAATGTCAGGTGGTTTAACTTCCTCTGGATTCCAGCCCATACAGCCTAAGGTTCATACTACCATAGCATCATGTCATCAACACAGAAGGCAGGTCTAGAAATCCGACCTACTATTTAGACCAGGTGGCCGAACTAAGAAATTAGATCAAATCATTCAAGAAGCAGTGAGACCTATATGGTGTTACAATGATGTGTGATAGTTGGTTGGGGCCACATCATCAATTTCCTTATATATTATTGATTTTCCACAAATCAGTTGATGCATCAGACAAAATTCAGGATGCAAACTAAATAGAAGGTTTGAAAGACACAGTGACTGTAGTGTTTGATGGACACACACACACTCTCTCTCTCTCTCCTGATTCAATGTCATTTCTCATGAAGTGAACAGAAGATCTAGTTCAAATTAACATGTTTAAACTCACTTTGATGATAGATCTTTAAGGTTTTAGGAGTTCCTTTAATAATACTTCCAATTTCATTTTTTATTTGCTTCAGTTGATTCTGCTGGAACATGAGGGTCCATACAGCTCAATATGCCAACAAGATGGCACCCACATGTGACTGAAACTAAAACCATTGCCAATTGTATGCATGCTTGTCTAAAGCATAAAGCAAGCATTTAATCTTGAACATATATATACCAAACCAGCAGCTAATCACCATCTAAACATCAGCAGTAAATACTCGAATGCAAGCAATTACAAAGAAAGAACACATAACATCCAATTAAAAGAACTGGACAAAAAATCAAGTTAGTTCCATGTTTTGCATCAAAGCTAAAACTGAAGGCAGCATAGCTATTTAAGGTAACCACACCGTGTAGATGCCGACTTCAATGCACCGTTGTGCCCCAAGAATCTGTACAAGCATTGCTAGTAGTTGGGCCTGATCCGGAGATACCTACTAGAAACGTTATTATCTTGAGTCAACAGAATACATGTTTACAAAAGTAACCAATTCTGTGGAGAGAAGAACAAATTTACTGTTTGAAGGCAGAAGATGAGCTCTAAGTGACATAGCCAAAGACAAACAGTTTAAGACTAATATGCAAAGGAGAAGGAACATTAACTTTAAAGGAATCATTACTCTAATGGAGGTCTTTTATTATGGCATGTCATGTACCTTGTGTTCTGCTAGGTCCAAAAAATCCTATTGCAAAAAACCAGCATAATTGAGTGTCCAATAATATGCAATGATACTGCACATTAGTAAACGACCAAAGGGATAACCTTCTCACAGGACAATGTCAGCTAGAACAGCACACGAGAAGAAAGAAGCAAGCACGAGTACCTGCATCTGGCTCCCTGGCATAGTCGCTGTTTCTTCTCTAAGCTCACGAAGGATCTGAACACGTCAAATTAAAACCCATAATCAACTCATTTTCCCACCAAATACAATTAGTGGGATAAGAAAAGATGCAAAGAAAAGAACACAATACGATGTGGCACGAGGTTACCGGAGGTTCGCGGACATTGGACAAGATGTAGCCGTAGAGCTGAGGCGTGACGCTGATGACCTGCTTCCTCCCGTACTTGTCGTCCTCGGCGACCACCACGGGCGGCGCGGTGACGGTGGCGAGACTCCGGACGGTTCTCGGAGGCGACGGAAGGAAGTGCAGCGATGCGAGCCTCCGCTTGGTGGTGCGGCAGCGAAGGGAGGAGAGAGAGAGGAGGGCGAGAAGGGGCGTCGAAGGGAGCAGAGAACTGCGGAGACGCAGGAGAGGTGGGAAGGGGCGTGTCGCCATGGAATCGCCAACTAGCAAAGTCGAGATAGTGTGGCGATTCGGGCAGATTGGGTCGGGCCAAAATAAGAGTCGAATTAAACGGGTCACGAATTCGATCCCTTAGCCGGTATAGTCTGATTCGTGTAGGGTTTGGTTAGCCCTCGAATGGAATGCAACAGTTTTTGGTTGTAAGCAGTGAAGGCAGATAGTGAAATGTCTAAAATTGAGATGCAAACACATCAATTATGAGATGATGATTGATTAGCAAAACTAATCCAAAAGTATCATTTTAGTCTCACGAGTAGCAGAGACGAACGGTGTCATTTTGGTCTCAATGGATCGATGAAATGGAACTTGAAATACAAATACAGCATTTGGTGCATAGAAGATGGAGTCTCCCATTTGCAGTTCCTGAGCAAATTGCAAAGCTGTGTGTAGCGAAGTTAACACCAAATATGTTGACAGAATCATAAGGAAACCAGTGAAGGAATTCGCTTCCATGCGAGGGCTGCTTGGTGTTATCAACATGAAACCCCAAAATCCAAATGCAACAAGGAAATGCCCATAAAGAGCACTAGATGCAGGTTGGCTTAGAACACAAATAAGATCCACTATTTAAGTGCATAGAAAGAAGTAACCAGCAAAAATCTAAAGCAGTTCCACCAACCAACATAAAACCAGTATTACAAGACAAGAAGAAGCACAAGTCCTTGAAACCTCTCTAAGAGACCATAATGTCCTCCGTGCCTATCAAGTTGACATCTCTAACTGCGATAGGTTATTTCTCCTTGTTCGTAGTTACTCTTGATCAAGCAGCTGAACCACTTCAGCAACACCTACCATCATTTCCTTTGAGATTTGACCAGCATCAGGAAGATTAAACTTTCTACGCCTCATAGAACCCAACTTCCCGGATGGTTGTGGATCGACCACCTCTAGCATTGCGTCAAGTTCTTCAACCATTGATTTCTTTGCTGCCCGCACCATGTAATCCGGTCCCTAACATCAAGGCAGGTGGCGGATATAGTCCGATTGAGCACAAAAGAAAATGAGAAGTAAATTTGCAGATTCAATGTATCTCCTTATATGACACCAATCAGATTCAATGACTTAACAAATTTGCAGAAGATTCAAATTACACGTGCAGATAGTTTTTAGTCTCTTTTAGAAACATGTGACCAAGTATTATGTAACTACTACTACAGTGCATACAATGAGAAGCACAAATGAGAAGAAATCAAAATAGAATTGTAAGCATACCATTTGTCCAAACCTTGAAGGTGAAAATAGGATCACCTCAAACTTATTTAAAAGAGTTGCATCATTTAGTGACTTGCCAATTCTGCATGGTGTCAGAATACTTAGCTATGAGTGGTTTCTTAAGAGTAACACAATGGTTTTGCTAAAGGCTAAATTCGAAATGGCTTACACATTTATAAGTCCCACCTAAGTTCAAGGCTTGGCATCAGAATATGTCCATAGGCCTCTGATCTAGGGGTGCTGATAAGAATCTCAAGCTTTGTATTCAAGTCCCTAGGCTGGATCCAGACCTTCTGCTCACATTAGCACCACCTGCCTACCTGACTTCATCTGGTCATGAAGACCATCAGCTCTCTCCTCCCATCACCACCTACCTCCACTGCAATCTATCTCTGCAACACAATGATCATGGCCAGATAACCTACTACCACACTGCCCGTTCCTCATTTCATCACTACAATAACATACACACGATTGGCATTTGGTGAAAACGAAGTCCTTTAATTGGCCAAAGCAAGGCCCGAGGTTTCTTGTATCCAAGTCAGCCTATACATACACACAATTGGCATTTGGTGAACACAAGAACAGGCCAAACGAAAGTATGCCAACTTATGCCTGCTCTGTTAGCGGCCTTAAAAATTGGGATGGACAGAATATAGAATTATTTATTGCGACAGCACAGTCTGATGACATAACCTTAAATCCATAATCCCTCACGTTTGAGTATATTGCACTGTAGAACATTGAAAATGTATTAAACCTATATTACTTAACATCCTTATCAGTTTGTGCATCAGTCCACAGTTCCAAGTGGTATAGATAACACAATTATTGCGTAAATCATCAGCTTTCAGATTGTAACAGTTGTATGCCCAAGAATACCAATCATAAAATGCAAAGAGTACAACATTGCACTGACTACAATAATTTGCAAATTCAGACAAAACATCGTCCTGAACCAAGTAAGATATCACAATTGCCAACTCATAAACCAGCAAGATGACACTACAAAATTTTGGGAAACTCCATAGCGTCCAACCAAACATCATGCCAAACCACCAAAGTCTTGTCACCTAGTTTTTTAATGCTTGGAAGGATTATCTGACCACCTAATGTTTGATACAAGTGCACTCTTTTGCACCGAACAAAATCTACACCTAGTCCATGTTGCCTGTCTTTTGATCAGATTGCCAAGGTTGGTCCAAAAAAAGTTGACAGACATTTATGGATACTATTACAAACTAAATCAAGAACTCAACCAAATACCTCATGATCATGTGAACCTCACCATTCCACTCAAACCAAGCACTTATATATGTGAATTCTCGATTTTTAGTTTCAACTCAAACTTTGATAGAGCTACAAGGTACTATTGACTGCCAAAATGATCTTTTTCAACCCCTTATTTACTTTCTTCTTTTCTTTTTCAGATGCATAAAAAAGCTCATAAGCGAAATCTTTCTAATTTCTTCTGCATATTTCTGATGACTTTGTATCCTGAAGGTGCTTTGCCATTAAACCCAATAATGAACTATTCATAGTGGGGGCAAACATCACCTTAAAGACAATGATTTTTCACACGTGGAAGCCTTATAAGTTTCCCTACACAGTAGGGAAAAAAAACAAAGATGAAGAAGAGAAGACATCTGGAATAACAATCAATATATCAACATCATCATGGAGAATAAATTATTTTAAAACATTAAGGAGTAACCATAATAGACTATGAGAGGAAAAATAAAATCTGTTCCAATAACATGTGCCACGAGACTATCATTAGAGATAAATTATGAAGTTTCTGCCACACTATAAGTTACCTCAATGGCGTCTACAGTCAGGAGGAGAACAATAATTTTCTCAGAAAACCTTTGGCACTCTTCTGCATCCTTTGATATGCGTCTGCGATAAGAGAAATTATAGAAGAAAGCTCTGATCTCCTTTAATCTGGCTTTGGCCACTGCCAGCTCTCGAAGGCAGCGAAGAATCTGGGAGCGGCGAGCCAGATGAGACCTGAAGGTCACTTGGATCAGCAATGCAGCGTCTTGTGGTGTCAGTTCTTTCTTTTTCCCCTTGTTGCATCTCTTGGTAAAAGCCTTTCCAACATCCACAAACTTAAATCAGCATCAATACCGATCAATAATCTAAGGCGTACAAAACGCTCAGTTGCAACAAATACAGAATGAATACTAAAACTGGCCGGCCAATCATATTACCGAGCACTAGAAACTAGAAAGCATAACTTTTTTAATGCAAGCTACTGAAAACACAATCCCTCATTTGCAAAATTAAAAGCCGAGAAGAATCAGCTTTAAATTCATAAGGATAAAAAGCACCCTAAGTTTGAGTCGGACTATGCATTGTTATGTGTAAAGCTACTAAATCACCCCTCCTATTTTGAACTAAGGACTACAAACATTAAGAAAAGAGAGAGATTTTGGAATGCCTATAGAATATTCTAAATGAGGAAATATGTATGTAGCAGTCTGTCAATGTAATGCTCTACAATGTTCTTAATGAAGAGGAGAACTGAAGTTTTACCTCAGAAACAACCCAATGATATCCAAATATTTTCTAGACAAACGCTAAGATGGGATCAGAAAGACCTTAGAAGCAACTAAACCTCATCCAAAAGTCTATTATCAAAAAGACCATCAATGAGACTGAGATCTCTGAGACCTTTCTGATGGCGATGGCTCCAGGATTCTTCTCTTCAATCTCCACCACATGGACGGTTCCTTCCTTCGCTTTCTTTTCCTTCTTCTTCTCCTTCTTCGCCGCCTTCTCCTCTTCGTCGTCCTCACGAGGCTTTGTCGAGGACGCCCACGTGTACGCGCGGCTCAGCGGCGAGTCCTTCCCCTTCCCCTTGAACTCCGCCGTCCACTTCACATTCCTCTCACCGACCCCTTTCCCGTTCGCCGCCCAGACGAACTTCCGATCGAACCCCTCGTCCTCTTCCGCCCCCTTGAACTCCGCAGTACACTTCAGCGCCCTCTCCCCGCCCGCCTTGGCGGCGGCCATCCACTTGTACTTTCGGTCGAGCCCGAGCTCCCTAGGCCCGTTGATCTCCGCCGTCCATGTGTACTTACGATCGAGATCCCGGCTATGGGCCCGGCCGAGCCCGAGCTCGAGGGCGGTGACCCGATCACTGAGGTCCCGGAGGCACAGCTCCGTGTCCGCCCGCTCGCGGAGCCTCTTGAACGAGGCGACGGCAGAGCGCTCGAAGCCGAAGGGGTCAGCGGCGGCGAGGAGGTCGAGGGGGGCGGTCAAGGGGGATGGGAGGAGGCATTGTGATGGAAGATCGACAGGTGGGAACGGTGAGGGGTTAAGCAGGTCAAGGGCGAAGTCTAGGGAGCGATGGTGGTGATGGACCTCGTCCACCAGCGCCAGCGGTCGCGACAAGGGAGAGGTGAAGGTGGAGAGTGAGGATTCGAGGTAGTCGAAGGAAGGGAGGAGGGGGTCGAAGAGATCAAACGGGTGGAATCCAGTCATTGTCGTTGCCTTGGTGGTGGTGGTGGTGGTGGAGGAGGAGGAGGAGACGACAACTCTTTCAAGGCGGAAGAGATGGGGATGGGGATTTCTGGGCTGTTTAAGAGAAGTGGAGGTGTGCGGGTTAGGACAGACTTTGCTGAGACGAGTGCATTTCTGTGGGACCCACACATTTGTCATGTCTGAAATGAATGCTCCCTTAAAGACTTCGGAATCGGAGAAGTCAAGAATTCGGACGTGGAAAGGTTAAAGTGAAAGTTTTGGGTATCAAAATGAGTGCAGCTATATATCGATAATTACTGTTATGTATCATGTTCTGATCCGTATGAGTTTGATAAAATACTTACAAAATAATTAGTTTTGTAGCATTTTCAAAGTCAATGGATGGAGACTCGATAGGATTTTGAACAGATAGAATCAAAAGGTTTAGTCAGAAAATGTACATTTTTTTAGATTATCATCTTATTGGGACAAAAACTTTAATTAAGCTAATCAAGCATTATATAGATATATCTTTAGTTGATAAGATTTAGTTAGTAATTTATAGGGATAATTAATACACAAATAGATTTTTTATTTTTTGTTATGAAGTGAGGGGTCATAAATGATGGTGGATGTTTCGAGTTCAACATATAGATTATTTATTATCATGAGTATATTATCGTAATAAATAGTTATCTCGATGAAGATAACTATTTATTACTATCGTAGTTGTCATCTCGATATCAACTTAAGTATCGAAGAGATCGAATCAAATTTTTTTATATTTTAAATTTTTATAAAGTATCAAAAAATACTTTGAGATCGAATAATATCTCATTTCATCACTTCACCCTGACTCCATCAATAAATTCTCCTATGACCATTTATTACATGCACCACTCTCTTATTGAGTTGAAATCAAGTCATTCCTTCATCTTTTTATCAAGCAATCAACTTTGAGATTAACAAGTGGTATATGATTCTTCTATCAATAATTAAAACTTTTACTAGCTAAACTAACTAACATCCTTAAGAACGATTATATAATGCTTTGAACTCCTAAATGAGTGGATTTGGAACCCACCATCACACTTGCATTTTAGGTATTAAAATTATAAATTTAGAATCTTTAATAAGTTTGTTGATTGCATTATGATCATATTAATATTTTTAAAATTTACACGACGAGATTTTGAGTGATATACTATCACCATGAAAAAAATATTTGTTAGTCTAATTATTCCCTTCAAAGCTTAGGGTGAAAAATAACACACATATTATTATATTGTTTTATTCTTTTGCCATTGGTCAAAATCTGTTTGACTTTGGAAGGATATATGTGTAATTGCGCTTTACATTTAGTTTTCCCTATCGATTACGTGCAAGGAAGATGCGGAGAGAAGTTTATGTTTGCTTACACATGTATATATACCTTCCAAAATACCCTCTCACTGATTGGAGGATGCAACGGGATCAACGCGGGGCCGACCATATGAGACTAGCAAGAGTGTACTGTGGACGTGCAAACGCGTGTCCTGCAAATCGCGAGCTAAGCTGAGAAGCGATATCCGAGCGACAGCACGAAACATGGAACCCGGCACGTGCAAGCCAGGACAGCGCACAGGTCGAAGGTCAAATATGATGGGACCCACTGGTTTGGGTGAGAGGAGCGTCGAATCCTGACTGGGTCGGGAGACAGGGGATCCCTCCGAAGTCGCTGCCGCGGTGGAACGCACTACGGTGAGCCTTTCCGCGGACAATTATTCTTTATGTGGTGTACGCGTCTCGATGGCCCGAACTGCGACATCCCAGATTTTAACGGCGTTGGCCGCGGGGAGGAATCCGAGGAGATCACTCGGGTCGCTGACACGTTCCACGTGCGCTGGCGCCCGCGTCGTCGGGCTATTGCGGATTCGGTGGCCAGCACGTTGGGAACCGCCGTCGGAGCACGTGGTCGATGCTCTCCCGGTCGATGACGCTTTACGCCACGGCATGACCGTGGGCGAGAAGATGATGCGGCGGATTCCCCAAGGGGGCGATCGGAAGTGGGTGGCGTCTCGCCATGTCGAACTTTTCTTGCCAACGAGGTTTTCTTTCCTTCTCGTTTTTGCCCCCTTCAATTTGAGCCTTTTACGCTCGTTTCTTGTGTTTCCTCGATTAATTTTGAGTCACTCCCTTCCTATTTATATTTTCCGCCAATGATCTTTTAGTTTTACTGTTTGTAACTCAAGTCTTAAATCAATATAATCGTTTCTCCCGTTAAGAAAATTTTGTAAGACTTTGTGGAGTCAACGGGCTAAATTAGTTATTCTTAATATTTTGATTCTTATACTTTAAAAAATTACATCGATATCTTTATAATTATAAAAATAAAATATTTAAATTTATTTATGATAATATCATTAGTAAAAATAAAAGATAAAAAATAATTTTAAAACCAGTTGATAGTAGCAGATGATGTCAAAATGACGATATCATCGAGGGTTATGACTGATTGTTGTGGATGAGTAAAACAACGATGAGAGGTGAGGGTTATTTCTACATATGTGTCAACATCGATGTAATCATCGAGTGACATCACTTTATATTTATATTGGCATCGATATAGTTACCGAGCGATATCGCTCTGCATCATTGATCCTGATCCTTTCATCATTAGGTATCTACAACAACGTTGATGCAGATGCAAAGCGATTATCATCTCTCGTTGTCGCTTTTCTCATCTACATCACCCACCCACGATCCCCAACGTCGTTGTTGTTTGCTATTGTTGACGACGTCCGTCCCTGCAAACTAAAATATTAAAATTATTTTTTATCTTTTATTTTTATATATCTATTGTTAAAACTGATTATGTTATGGTAAATATACATAACTATTTCATTTTGGATTGATGTCAATGTAATTTTTTTTAGTATAATGATCAAAATACTAAAATCAATTAATTATATGAGATGATGCGTAATTAGTCCACCATCAATACTTAGTTTCGATGTATGGTAAACCATTAATCTTTTGCACACTGGTGCCGACAAAACCTGTTTGTGTTCAGATCTACACTACTCTAGAGATGAGAGATGAGATCTTTCCTGGTCACGCTTTGGTGCGAATCCTGGCGAATCTAATCATGCTGCAGGGGTGAGGATGTCAGCTTTCAGATGCAAATGCATCGGTGGCACCATTTAGCACGGCTGAACGAAGACGAAGTCTTTCGAGGTCACGCAAAAGAGACGCTGGCGCGAGATGGAAGGTGCTGAGTAAGGCATGAGATCGATGGAATCAATGGCCAAGATCGCTTGGGCGTTCTTTCGTTGGAGCACGGTGTTGTTGTTCTCGTTCGAGTCACGGACACGATGCATAGTTCTATATGAAATAGCAGAGATTGGTGGACTGAGTTACTCGAGTTGTCTCTGAGGATTGGCAGGGAGACTGTTTGTCCCGGCGTATGGATTGGGTCCCGCAAAGATGGTGAGTCTCGAGATGGACGAGTAAAATATGTGTCCATATGTAATTGGAACTATATTACTATATTAGCAGTCGGAATATAAGCATAAAATAGTTTACTTACTTAAATAGTTTCGACTCTCGAGATATTATAAATATTATACATCAAAATATAAAATAAATCAAAATTAATATATTAGTCAAGTGTGCCTCACGCATATATTTTTAATAATAAAAATAAAATAAAACAAATATCAAAATTAGGTTGAACGAAATTTCTTATTTCGATCACCAAAATATTTCAAGTAGTATTTCGTACTCAGACATCTGTGCTTCAGGACTAACAACAATAAGCTCTATCTTTTGCTCATGCTAAGTTTAGAAGAAAAAAAAAGGACTTCCAATCATCACTGAAATTACAATAATAAAATTCACTTTTTCGTTATGTTTGATAGGGTCAAAACTGAACCTGCTGTGGCTCCTCTGCCTCTCCCATCAATTTCAACCTTGAAATGTCTCATTCTGTACAATGATCGTTTTGGAAACCAATGAAACCAACTGCTCAACCCACATAATAACCATTAGTACATGCTGCATCATTCTGCTTTTCCTACTACAAATATAGAGATGCAGCAAACACAATGTCTCGCTTAATTTTTGTAACAGCCTCTTCGAATTTGGATTCTAGTTCAATTTCTCCAATAGATTTTGCTGCCAGAATTAGCTGTTGCAGAACTTCCTCCAGCCTTTTAATAGCCCTGATTAAGCTACCTTCGAAAACTTGAGCTACTTCCATGATCTGATAAAATTTCGATCCTTTGGCCCATGAATAGACAGCTTCCATGATGTCTGGACGAAAAGCGTTGACAAAATTCTCGACGTCGATTTGGATCTGCCAGAACATAGCAAACAAAGATGTTGCTGAGTTAAACTTGAGTTGTAATCAAATCTCGCTTTCTTTCATCCCAAAGATAGCAAAAAGCAAGATAGACAGATCAAGACACCTTGCATTCAAGTTGAACATTGGCAACCCTTCTTGCTATTTCTTGCAGCTGAGAATAAAGCAGGTCAAGCCCTTCCCTTGGCTTAGGGGCATCTTGCAGCTTCTCCTGCCAGACAAAACACGAAAGCAGGGCTACCATCTCCTCCAAATTGGCATCTTTCAGTATCCCGCTAAACATAAGTTCAGTTAGTGTTAGTTCATCAGCACTGCTTATCTCACAGGCTACCTTGCCCTTCAGCTCCACAACATCCTCACTGGTAATATATCTGCAATTAGCAGAAGGCCACAGCTTAAGATAAGTCCAAAATGGTAAAAACCAAAATCACCACAATGAAGAAAATATGCATAACATTATCATGGCAAACAATGTACTAGCAGTTCATATTATTCCAAACCAAAAAATTGACTAGATGTAAACCAGATATAAGCATATCAAACCGAGTAGCACTTTAATAAAGATCCAAGTTATACCCTTGCTCCCCCTATTCAGCAGAACCTAACTATGTAGCAATGTCACACTGCACCTTTCTGTTTAGAACATAAAACTCAGACGCTAACACAAAGTGGCATTTCAAATATCTTGATGTCGACAGAAATGCAGAGATGAGAAAATTTACTCAGTTGCCATTTTGAAC